AGTTCGGTGGCACCGGTGTGAACAACGGGCTGGCCATGCGCACCGGCGTCACGTCCAGCCGCACCTTCAGCACCGTGTAGTCGTCGCCGCCCAGCGCGTTGCTGAACCAGCCGATGGTGCCGGGGCCCTTGTAGAGGCGGAACTCGAAGCCCAGCTCGGGCGACAGGTCCCCGGGCCGCGGCCGCACGCGGTAGGCGAGGCCGCGCACCTCGGGCGAGCGGCCGTCCAGCAGCTGCGACATCGCGGTGACGATCATGTTGTCGGCCAGGATGTCGAGGAAGTAGTGGTCGTACTGCAGGTAGGGCCGGTAGTCGGCAGAGGCCGGGTCGATCTTCTGGTCGCGCAGCTTGTGAGCGGCGGGTGTGGTGACGCCGGTCTTGAGGTCGTGCTTGTCGCCGCGGTCCAGGTAACTGATGACGGCGCCGCGCAGGTTGAAGGCCGGCAGCCTCGCGTCCGATGTGGCCTCGGACAGGTCCACCAGCATCGCGCCGCGGCCGCCGACGATCTCGACGTCGTCGCCCTTGATGACGGCCGCCGTGTTCTCCTCGATGCCCAGGCCCAGTTTGTAGCCCAGCGCCCGCATGGCCGGCAGCATGCGGCCGATGCGCCCGCGCTTGAGGAAATGCTGGTCCACGAACAGGCCGGGCGTGACGAAGCCCAGGCCCTGGTCGTACTCGCGCTTGTCGCGCCACTGGCCCTTGAGGATCTGCATGTTGTCCGGCGCGTCGCGGAACATGATGCGGCTCATGATGGCCGCGCCCGCGCTGGTGCCGGCCACGACGCCGCCGTCGTCGAACACCTGGCGGATGGCCTTGAGCATGGCCGTCGGCTCGCCGCCGGGCTGCAGCGTGTCGACGATGTACTCCTGCGCACCGCCCGAGAAGAACACCGCCTTGGAAGACGCGACCTTGGCGATCAACGCCGGGTTGTTCAGGTTGGCCTGCCAGTCCACGTCCTTCTGGCGCGGCGCGACGGGGATGGCCTCGGCGTTGGCACCGCGCCGGTTCAGCGACGCGACGATGAGGCCGGCGCTGCGCTCCGGGTTGGCCGCGGCTGTCGCGAACACGGCGATGCGCGCGCCGGCGCCGCCGGCTTCGTCGACGACACGCTGCCAGACGGCGTCGTTGTCGCTCTTGGTCGCGCCGCCGATGACGATGGCGGTGCCGGCCTGGGCGGCGAAGTGGAGGAAAAAGGCCGCGAGGGCGGCCAGGCGCAGCAGGGTTGGGCTCATGCCGCCATGTTGGCAGCGGCCGAGGCGTCCAGCCAGCGGGTTAGGCCGCAGCTTGCGCCGGGATGCCTTCGCTCAGGTAGATGCAGTCGCCCTGCGGTCACCCGCGTGGAAGGCCACGCCCCAGCCATCGACGTGATCTGCCGTGCGGCCACCCCGGGCGGCAAAGCCGCTCAACGAGAAGTTGGCGGCTGCGGCGAGGCGGCTGTTGAGGGCGAAGAGTTCGCACATCGGCGTGGTGGGCAGTGGCTGTAGATAGGGAACGCCGCCAGTCTGACGTTGGATGACAAAAACGCCAACGAACCTTCCGTCATGAGCTCATGCCGACGTGGCTTTGTGCACACGCCAAGGTGCGAACTGTCGGCAATCCCTAGCTTCTCTCCGCGTTTTATCGAGATGACGCGGGCCTGTAATTCGTTCACAAACACATCCAGCAACATTTACGCCAAGCCGCGAACGTGCTCTCCTACCCTTTGGGGAAGGTTCGCAGCGGGCGGATCGAGGAGTGCTGTCATGTGGATGAATGAGTTTGTTCAATCGGGTCAGGTTCCCGGCCGTCGCGAGGAACGTCGACAGGCGGCCTCGCTGTCCAGCCAGTGGATGGGGCTGGTGCTGGAGGAGCTCGACCATGGCGTCGTGCTGCTCAACGGTGCCGGCCGTGTGCTGCACACCAACCTGGCGGCGCGTGCGTCGCTGGACGACAACCACCCGCTGGAGCTCGTCGGCCCGCATCTGCGCGCCCGGCTGCTGACCGACGCCGTGCCGCTGGCCGAGG